CGCCCCACGATAATTGTAATTGTATATAAGAAGATCATTCTTGCTCTGTTAAAAAACATACTGGGAAAATCTTGGCTTGTGACACAGAAGGTCCAAAAGAACGAAGATAAAAAATCAGAAAATTTGGTGTATCTATCTTAAGTCAGTATTGTGGGAAAATGGATGTGCCTCTGTAGGAATAAACCAAGCTTACCTTACTTCGCCCCACGATAATTGTAATTGTATATAAGAAGATCATTCTTGCTCTGTTAAAAAACATACTGGGAAAATCTTGGCTTGTGACACAGAAGGTCCAAAAGAACGAAGATAAAAAATCAGAAAATTTGGTGTATCTATCTTAAGTCAGTATTGTGGGAAAATGGATGTGCCTCTGTAGGAATAAACCAAGCTTACCTTACTTCCTTTTTTTTTCTTTTATAACATTCACATCTCATTTCCCAAGGAAGGCCGCAGGTTTTGTGTGGAAGGGGTTGCACTAGAAGTATACTGCTGGATCTGCCATCCTAGCTTGTGTTCAGATGTAATTTTATTTATTTATTGTAGAAGTAATGTGGATAAACTATCTTGGTTGAAATCCTGGCTTCCACTGAAGTCAGTTGCAAAACTCCCATTGAGTTCAGTGGGGCAGAAATTTCGCCTTCTGCTTTTGAAGTTAGAATTGCTACTAGATTGTTAACTTATTGTTGCATGTCAAACAGAATATGCTTGACACTTACATTTTTGCTGCGTTCAAAACCCACCAAGGTTAAAAGACATGCATAACCATGGGCTTCTGATTCTAAAAATTATGCAAAGTGTAACCTTGTTAGAAATAATAACGTCCCTGGAGATAAACCAAAAATAATAGTTTCACTTTAAACTAAAAATAGAGTAAATGGAGGTTTAATCTAAGCCATAATTATCAAACCGCTGAAGATGGTTGCAGTTCATCAGAACTGGAAATTGATGCTGCTTTTATGTTTTGAACATTTGAGTCCCAAAACTGCAGAGAAGCAAAGGCAGGGGAATGAGAACTAAATATAAAAACTACTGGAAATTCTGATCTGTGGAGTAATGTTGCATATCGGGAGTCCAACCTCTTGCCATCAAGCTGGATGCTTATACTGTAAGGTGCTCTTCTCCGAAGGAATAAACTGATATTCAGCTGAGATCACTGTTATCAACTTGCAGTCGGCAATTCTGAACTAGGGATTTTAAGGACTAGTTGACTAATTGCTCCCCTCCCCGCCCCACTGCCTCTATCAGATAGAGGTAGCAAGGGTTGGGAAACGGGGGGTACTTCAAAGCAGCAGCGCCTCAGGGAACCTGGGCTCCATGTAGCGCTATCGCTTTGAAACGCTGTGGTGGCATTTCACAGGGGCAGCGCCACACAGCTGATCCCGGGCTCAGTGCGGCGCTGCCCCTTTGAAACTCCATGTGGCGCTAAGCCTGGGATCAACTGTATGGCTGTGCCCCTTCGAAACGCTGTTGCAGTGTTTCAAAGGGGCAGTGCTACCCTATCACCTAATCGAATAGTCGATGCAAAAATGCATCGACTATTCGATTAGTGAAATACCTGATACTTAACATCCTAATTCTGAACCTAACGCTTGTCGTGACTTGTCGTTTTGCCAGCAGTGTGTCACTTGGCTTCCTATGAGAAACCTTGTGCAAAAATTCTTATCAGTTTCCATCTCACGTTAAGATCGGTTTGGAAACCACAGGAAACCCATTAAGACTGAAAAGTATTACTTATCAGAAAAGGGAGGAGTTTGCTCTCTCTCCTAACATAGTCTGAGCATGGAATTGGAAATCGATATTTCGAGCATCTGCCCATGGCTCTGCCACTGACACATTGTGTGAACTTGGACTAGTCACTTATTCTCTCTAGTGCTTGACATTTTCCCCTGGTAAAACACTGTTAGTAGCACATGGCCTCACAGGTGCATGGTGGGCAGGGGGAGTTATGTAACGTTTGTCAAACTCATTTGAAGTCTTCAGCTGAACGATATTTTAATTTCTCAGTTGGGCTTGTCAATATTCAATGTACATTATTTGTTAAAGTGAAATACTCTGAGTCAAATGCTGTTCACATTTATATTGGGCTGGGCAGGGGTTGTGTCTTTGCATGCATTTGGACACCACTTAGCAAAGTGGTGCTAAGATTCTAGGTGGGACAGCCAGGGGCTACTGAAATAAAGATATTTAATAATACCGTAAATTTGGAGTAATCACTTTTATGTCAATAGATTTACTCCAGATTTACACCGACATAAGAGCAGAGTTTGATTCCATGTTAGTAATACTCGGCATCCCCACTATATGTTCAAGGTAAGTTCCAAAAAACGTGGAGGTACAGTGAAACAACGTAAAACAGGGAATTCTTTTCCCATGGCTGACTTCCATTTGTGAATTGGTCTCTTTTTTTTTTGCGTAACATAAGAGCACGGAATGGGAAGACTTATAACACAACAGTTCCAACAAGCATCAATGATGTTAGTGCGGAACCGACGTATACTGTGGGGACACCCTGTAATTGTAATTCAGTATTTGTTGTCATTAGTTAACATGATTTTAGTTAATCTTATTCACTAGTTCTGGGCAAGTAATGCAAAGTTTTCCAGAGATATTCACTTTGATAGTCTGTGCTTCAGCCAGATTACTGCCTTTCTGAGCGTTTGCTTCCCATGAATCCTTGAGTGACTGAGTTTTAGGGGGAAGCACATTTCAGGTTGCATGACCATTCCCAGAAACCACTTTTTGTATGCATGTGCATAAGAATTCAGTCAGAGGTAGTTGTGGATTCATCTAATCATGGAACAGAAGTAATGTGTGCCATATGATTTCTCAGAGCTGTCCCCGCAGTAGAAATCACTGGAGGATTTTAGAATATTGCTAGCAGAAATTCAAAGTGAAGTGTTTGCCATCAATCCAAGGAGCAAAATACGTTTTTGTTTAAATTGCAGCTAATTGTGCATAATTTGATCATATCTACTTTTCTGTTTGTTTCCGTATGATATTCAGAGTGTCGTTATCAGGTGCAATGGAAAATGACAAACCAACAGTAAGACTTTATCTTTTTTTTTTTAACCAAACAGTATGGGGATGAGCCACGATGATGACCATTTGTCCTGCGCAGGAAGATCTCACATAATGTCTGGAGAATGGGTGAAGGGCAGGAACCCCAGTGACCTTTCTTGGTCTTCCTGCAGCCGTGAGGACCTTGAAAACTTCCTAAAGTAAGAATGTGATGAGCAGTGAAAACATCATTCTCTCTCCAAGAACTGGGATCCTATTTGAAATTGAAACCCAGAACAGTGTTGGGGGAGGGCGGTGTACAATCACTGTATGGAAGGTTGAATCTGTCTCCTTCACGGTGCCATTCAACCTGGGAGCTCGCAAGGGATACTGGCGGAGAAGCAGAAAATGCATCCTCCCCAAATTTCAGCACACTGACTGCTTGAAAAGAATCCCAGTTCACTTCCACTTCCTGAATGAATCTTGCTGATGACAGGCCTCTGTCTCAGCAGCTGTACAGGAGGAAGTGCCCTTAAAAAACCCAAACCTCCCTTCACCATTTTCTGCCAGGCAATTGATTTTACAGAAACCAGAGATAACTCATTTCACAGGGAAGTTCATTTTGAGTCCTTCTCCCCTCAAAGTGAACGTGAACTTAAAGTTCACTGTGAATGAACTCCTTTTCTACAGCATCCAGGGTGTCTGGTTTATCCTCGTTGGTAATTCCGAAAGAATTTAAGCCAGTGGTGGGCAATCTATGGCCCTCGAGGGCCAAATGCCGCTCTTCAGGGTCCTATGTGTGGCTCGTGAGACATGCTGTTTACTATTGGCCACATGAAGAGTTGCCTGGTTCTGCTGATTGCCATCCTCATCGGAGGGCGAGGGGGGTTTTCCTACCCGTGTTATTCTAGTGACATGCACATAAAGCGAGGACATGTGCAGTAAGGTATGTGGTGATTGCACGCAACATTGACTGAGAGCCGCGCGGTCCCTCTGCATCCGATCAAAGTGCCGCTACGGTTCCATCGGCACATCCCGCAAATTCTAGGAGCGCAAGCGCAGTTGGCAAAACTACCGTATCCTAGGAGACAACACTCTTGCAGCCCACTGAGATGGAGGGCCACTCATTCACTAGCCTAGGTTGCCCAGTGCTGACTTAAGCCAAGCTGATGACTAGCACAAAGGCCATTATTCAACAGAGCACACGCCAGCCTCTTCTGGATCCTCTTAGCTACAGGTTGGACCTCTACAATCTGGACTTCTCTCATCCACAACGCCCCTGGTCTGGCATCCGTGGGTTCTCTAGGGTTGGCGCACTCACAGGGAAAAGCTGGGCCCCGTGCTCAGCAACTCCTCCCCTCCACTCCCAGAGCTTTCACAATGTCACCAAAAACTCATTTGCGGTGCTCACGCACGGTGTGGGGGGAGCTGGGATGGGGCGGGGCACTGGAGGAAGAAGAGTCAGGGCAGCTGTGGAACCCAGACGGAGGCAGCTATAAGCACAGCCTGGTGGCTAGTGTTGGGGGGCTGGGGCCAAGGACGGAGCTCCATGGCCTCTTGCCGTGCTTCCAGCCCCCAGCCACAGGGTTCTGCAGCTGCTCTTCCTCTTCCTCAGAGCCCTTCCCCTTCCATGCCTGCTCCAGCAGTGTCCCACAGCCGGCAGCTCGAGGGGAGCCAGCGTTGGCCTCCCTGCTCTAGCAAATTCCCTGGTTTGAGACCAGTTGGGTCCCGAGGCTGCTGGACCAAGAAAGGTTCAACCTGTATCAGATATGTAGCCTCTGGGATGAGCGATGAACTTAGCATGGGAATCTTCAAACCCTAACCCTAACCCATGGCACTCCATTGACATAAATGCAGTCACTCCTGTTTCACTGCCATGGGAAAGACCAGAGTCAGGTTGTGTGTATTTCGGGGGCTGTTGCTTCTAATACCATTTTAGATTACAACCAGTTGTGAAAGGACGCAGAGAGTATGATGTGGCTTGCCGTCTGTGCCACGCCACTTCTCTTGCTTTCGAAAAAGAAGCCAGCCTGGCCAGTTTTCTTTTGCTATTTACAGTCCCACATCTGCACTGGGTCTCAAGCAGTAGCACAAAGCCGTGTGTTGGGGAAGCCAAAAACTTCATAAATCCGGAGTCCAAACCCTTTAGACCAGCGGTTTTCAAACTTTTTTCTCGTGGGCCAGTTGAAGAAAATTGTTGATGCTGCGACCCAACATAATTTGACTAGAGTGTGGGTTCCGGGTGGGGCTGGAGGAGGAGAGCTTTGGGCTGGAGGAGGGAGCTCTGGCTTTGGGGAGAGGGGGTCAAGGCTGGGGCAGGAGCGGGGTTACCTTGAGTGGCTCACGATCAGCGGTGCAGTGCGGAGTACTATGGCAGTTTCCTGTCCCTCCTGGCACCGCAGACCTGCTGCACCCCAGAAGCAGCAGGTTCCCAGCCAATGGGAGGGCAGAGCTAGTGCTCAGGGGCAGTATGCAAAGCCCTCTCACCCTAGGAGCCAATCCTGTTTCCAGCTGCTCTTGGGCTGCAACACAGTCTGCGGTGTAAGGACAGGCAGGGAGCTGCCTTAGAACCCCCATCGGTCACCTGATCTCCCTGCAGCAAGGAGACCCAATGCTTGACATTCCACCATCCAGTGCTAGATCTCAAACTGTAATTTGAAAACCACTGCTTTAGACAAAGACCCCATGATCCCAGGTGCAAGGGAAGAAGCCACCTTCTCTGGGCCAGTGATCTAGCAGCCCCGTTTCAAAGTTCTTCCTTTTAAAGAGTTGTTTAATTCTTGTACTCTGTAGGTCCAAGGTGAGCACCTGTTTGCTGGTAACAGACCCCCGAAGCCGGTATGCTGTGCGGCTTCCTCACAAGCTGCCAGGGATGCACTACAGTGCTGATGAACAGTGCCAGATACTCTTCGGAACCAATGCCACTTTCTGTAAGAATATGGAGGTAAGCATTCTGCTGGGTGCCAAGGGGGGAAATGGAGGCAGAGAATCAATGGAGAATAAAATGATTCAGTACCTCCGACTGAAATACACCCTGGGATTTTCAACCATGCTCAGCGTCAGCCTCATCCGGTCTGGTTGAAGTCAACAGTAAAGCTCCCTTTGACTTGAAAGAACAGAGTGAGGCCAACACCGAGAACTTTTGAAAAATCCCCCTCACAGTGATAAAGCTAAAATCCTCGATCCAGGCCCTGAGGTCCTTCAGGGTCAGTTTTCACTTGGGCAAAACTTCCATGGAAGCCAGAGGGCCAAAACACTGAGCAAGAGGCTGTTCTCATGATAGTCTTGGCTCACCTGGAATTGGGAGGTGGCAAGTGAGCCTCTTTCCACAAGACTTCGCAGCTCTGTGGACTACAGAGGTTCGCGTTGTGTGGCTTGACCTTGCGACTTTTGTTTTGAACACTGGCTCCAAATTATTTAACTACTGCTGGTAGGAGCTCTCTCTGACTGCAGTGTGAAGCAATGTTCATGTACGAATCAATTGGTCAAGCAGTAGGTGATCTGTTCTTGCTTTGCATTTGCTGGGGAGGCTGTGTGGGCCAGTGGCTAGGAGATGGGTCTGAGCATCAGGATTTGTGGGTTCTGTTCTCAGCTCTGCCATCAACTCCTAGTTCACCTAGCTGCACCCTGCTTCCCTCTATTGTAGGTAGGGATTTTGAGTGCACATCTGTGCGTATATGCTAGGATAGTGACAGATGAAAAGAGCTGAGCACTGTTATCAAATGGATTATTTTAGCACTAGAACCATTTGGTGACATTTTACCCTACATATTATGTTTGACCACATCCTATTTTAGTTAGAGTGGCTCGTGCTTAACTCTTATTAACTAGGCAATAGGGAAAAAATGTTTGTTTTGGTAAATCATTTCTTCCTCTCGTCCCCTGTCCCTTTCCGCTTCTTAAAAACCTCTGGAACTTTAACCCTGTTATATTAAAAAAAAGTAAAAAATAATCAATTATAACTGGAGTGGCCAAATGAATAAAGCTGTCGAACACATGTGAGTGCTGGGAAAGAACTCAGAGTTTCACATTTGCTATTTTATTTACTTTGGATCTGGCAACTAGCTAACACAGAACATGAAAACAATGAGACACAAATCTGGAGAGGTTGTGTTTTCTGGATCAGTCAGCGAAATGCAGGTCATCTGGGCTCCCGGGCTGGAAGCAAGCTTTTAAAATGTGCATCCTTAAAGAGTACTCAGGAAGATTCAGGTACCTCCCTATGAATAGATGTCATGCCATTTACTCGGCTTTTGGAAGATATTTGTTCTGTGTGGTGTTGCCGAAAAGAACTGTCATTCCTGGAGGTTTCACCCACGTTAGGAAGTGTTATTGTACTGTTAATGGCATCTTCAGAAATCACGTTCTTGAGACTCCTCATTCAGAGTATTTGTCAGTGTAACACACCACGGGCAGCGTACTCTGTTAAGCACAGGTGGCAGGTGTGTGGATCCGTTGGGATCTTTACTAGCCTTAGGGTGCGTCTACACAGCACAGCTATTTTGAAATAACTGACATTATTTCGAAATAATGTGAGCGTCTACACAGCGATTCCATTATTTTGAAATAAATTCGAAATAACTGATGGCTTATTCCGACTTCTGTAAACCTCATTCCATGAGGAATAATGCCTGTTCCGAAATAATGCCTGTTCCGTGTGGATGCTCCATTGCTGCTGTTTCGAAATAGCTCCTCCCCAGGGCCATTCAGACTAATTACTCCCCAGCGCCTCCTGGGGCTCTAAATCGAGGTAGCACGTCCACATTAGAGGAGCCTGCCTCAGACTAATTTTGAGGCTTCCCTGTAGTCTGGACTATGCTATTTCGAAATAAGCTATTTCGGAGTATTTCTCCCAGAATAGCTTATTTCGAAATAAGTGTGCAGTGTAGACGTAACCTTACTGTTTGAAATCTTTAGAAAAGAAGCAAAAAAACCTTAATACATGCTTGGAAAGGCTTGAGAAGAGAATAATTTCTGCTGAGAGGCCTAGGCTGAATAAAGTAAATTGCAAACACTAGTCAGATTAATTAATATATGTAGGTGTTAAGGATTATGAACAGAGCTCGACAAATAATAAAATCTACTCGCCCATGGAGAGTAGATTGGAACCCGGAAGAGCCGGGTTCGGGTGACCTGGGCATGCGCAGATCGCCGGACAGTGCGGCTGGCAAGCGGGGCTTTCCGCGGTTCGGCGAACCCTGATTATGAACATAGGCCAGGAGCAGGCAAGATATGGCCTACGGGCCACATTTGACCTGCCGGGCCACATTTGCCCGGCCAAGCCACTGGATCCGATCTGCAGGCTGCCTGATCTGGCCCATGGGCAACCCATCAGGACCCTCAGGCACAAGGCAGCCAGCCACTTCAGAGCAGCTGCATGCCGCTTTAAGCAGCTGACTGTTCCCTGTGGGCACCAGAGGCAGGGGGAGGCTTCACAGAAATCCAGAAATGGGAGCTGAGGGATTTTGCCGCCTCCTCGTCCCCCGGTGCCTAGAGAAGAGAGCCAAAGAGAGCAGCCAGCCATTTTGAGCAGCCCGAGGCTGTCCCAGGGTCATGCAGGGCTACTGGCCGCCAGCCCTCTGCATCCACCTCCTCTCCTTCCACAGGCCAGAATCTTCTCCTGCACTCCTACCCCCTCTCGCACCATGAACACCAAGCCCTTGCCACAGATCATAATCCCCTCCTTCACCCAAACTCCCTCTCAGACTCTCCCCCCCCCTTTTCCTGCACACCAGTCCCTATCCCAAACTTCCTTCTGCCCTCAACCTCCATCCTAGACCCTGCACTTCCTCCATAGAAAAGTGCGGCCCTAGACCACTTTCCAAAATCTTGGTGTCCCACCCGCCCCCCAGCAAAAATTACTGCCTACCCCGATGTAGGCTGTGAGTGCTTCAGGGCTCGGTGTTGACGTTCTGTGAATATCTGTGCCATTAACTTTACACACCATGAAACCCTGGTATTATTTGCATGCTGTTCTGCTGCAGAGAGTTGGTGTTTGCCTGCAGTGAAACTCAATTCATTATCAGAAAAGATCAGTGTTAATTTTAAACTCTGGAAGGTTTTGTTACCTTCACCTTTATATTTCTCATGCCTCATCCACAGCATGCTTGTACTGTTAGTCTCTAAGCTGTCTGCGGAAATATGAACCAAAAAAAATTGGCACCAGTCTTTGGCATTAGTTATAGAAATTATTGGCAAACATAGCTGTCTCCTCTTTTAGCCAATGGTAATGTGGTATTTTTAATTCAATAAAGTATTATTTAAAAAAACCAAATGTACAAGCAATAAACATTTGACAGTAAATATTTGTTACAAAAAGGAAATAAACTTCAGGAAATTAGCCTGCTTAATCTTTTTATGTCTACATGCATCTTCTGTCTCCAGTCCTGTTTAATAAAGAGAGCTATATTATGATATTTCAGAAAGAGATAACTGAGTTCCATAACTGTGTACAGGAAACTAGAAAACCTATATTCCAAAATTCCCTATGATTTTGAAAACTTCCAGAGGACAGAAGATGTTTCCAGCCATCTTTAGGAAGGGCTTCAAAATCTTCCTGTTTGATAAAGCTTGATAAAAACTTTCTGCATGAGGGGCACTCAGACACTATAGTGAAGAATAACAATATAAATATCAGCAATAGCTAGTTAGTGTTCGAACATTCCACCTCACCTTTGTCGCTTTAATTTGTCACCTCCCCCCAACCCGAAAAACTTCCAAACATTACAGTACCAGGGCAGGTAGAACTTGTGTTTCGAAACACAAAATCAGTGAAGTGCTCATGGAGGATTGTTAGAAAGCCAGGTCCCATCCAGTGTTCCCACTTGTGCGGCTACCCAGAAGGGATTCAGATGCCACCCAGCTGGTTCACAGCGTGTCCACAGCCAGCAGTATGTGTTTCTGCTGGTGGTGCACATCTGCACATGCCTCAGTGCACATAACAAAATTTATTCTGTGCATGGAGGAAAAAATCAGAAAGGATCAGTGTTCTCTCTAAGGTTTGCTTGTCCTGCCCTCTCTTATCCTCATGGTTTGAACTGAGGGGGGAAAACCATTACTCCACAGTCTCCTGACAGCCCAAGCTGCACTAACCAGAGAGGCCAAACCTTTACTTCACTCAAAATAGATCTTCCTGCTGCGATTGTCCCACTTCCTTCATGTGTACTTGTGTTCAGCAGTGAAATGGTGAACAAAGTTTTACAGTCCTATGCTGCCATCATTAGACTTCAGACTCGATGGCCCATTAAAATAAAATGTAGTGCTCACAGGCCTTTCATAGCTATTGCTTCTGCTGTCTACAAAGTTTGGCAGTCAACCTGGCATCAGTTTGCACTTGGTTTGAATTGTTAAGATTTTCTTTGGTGACTATGTGCGTTAAAGACTTGGGTAAAGATTTTTCCAAGAAGTTGGGCACCTGTCTCCCTTAGGCATGCTTGATAATCTGTCTTAATTTATTGTTCTAATGAGAGCATAGGTTCTGGCATGCAAAATGGCAGCCTCTAAAAATAAGAATATTTGCCAAACCACCATGAGCTGCTCTGAGCCTTCCTCCGAAAACACAGCACAAAAAGGAAGGCTCGTGAGGTAGCCACTTTGGGTATGTCCACACAGCAAAAATAGATACACGGAAGCATGTCTCAGTGGCTGGGTCAACTGCCTTGGGCTTGTGCTGCTAAAAATAGCAGGGCAGATGGGTCCGAGATCCTCTCTCCTCTCTGCATTTCAGAGCCTGGGTTACAGCCTGTAACCAAACATCTCCACTGCTATTTTGAGCCCACACTGCAACACTGAGGCAGTTGATTTGAACTCTGAGGCTCACAGCAGCAGTTCTTTCTTTTCCTGGGCTCAACCCTCAATGGCTACATTTTCGGTGTTACATGCTTCCCCATAACTCTCTCGGCATTTGGAAATCTGTTTATCTGGTGCTGTCCATTCACCCTTCTT